TTTCTTATTACAACAGAGGTAGCTAGTTTTTTTGTTTTTTTTCAACAAGTTGGCCATCTCTCACCGAGGCAGGGTGACCCAAAAAAGAAAGAAAATCCCCAAAAAGAAAATGCTTTCATCATCATTCAACACTTTCACCACACTCACACATAATCACTGTTTTTGCAGAGGTGCTCAGAATACAACAGTTTAGAAGCATATACGTATAAAGATACACAACATATCCCTCCAAACTGCCAATATCCCAAACCCCTCCTTTAAAGTGCAGGCATTGTACTTCCCATTTCCAGGACTCAAGTCCGACTATATGAAAATAACCGGTTTCCCTGAATCCCTTCACTAAATATTACCCTGCTCACACTCCAACAGATCGTCAGGTAGCTAGTTGTTTACAGTAATTAAATTTATAGTCGAGATGAAGTATATAAAAAATTACAGTACAGTAGGGCCCCACTTTATGGTGTTTCACCTTACAGCATTCCACTAATACGGACATTTCAAATTGTGACCAAAACTCACTGTACAGCTTCCCCCACCTGACTTTCTAATATGGTCACCACACGCCACCCAGTTTTACATTCTCCGTGAGCATCGCATCTCTCCGTTATGTCGGAAACTTTCCAAAAATTCATGCGTTTTAAAGTTATTTCATATTTTATATATACTCTGATAATTATACATATTTGTACCTGTACCTAAATAAACCTACATACTGTGCTGGCATGCAAGTACTAATTAAAATCACTAACAGTGTTTATTAGTCACTAAGACACCATAATAATACTAATAACAATAATAATAAAATGCAATAATCACTCTTGAGGCACATTAAATGTCATACATATGTTAACATAGACATTTTCATTAATCCATCTATGATATTTTTTCAAAATTATATAATAAACATGCCATGTAACATATAAACATGATAAATACACCCACAGTAGAATAAATTAACACGTGAGGTTTTATCCAGTTGTCTTGTCGGAATGTAGGAAAGAATAACGTTCTCTCTAGTTCAACATCAAAGAAAATGTGTACATAACAGTATTACTGGGGTAACTGTAGAAAATTATTCCTCTTGTATGCCTTCACTCAGTGCGTCATTCGTTCCCAAAATGCTGTGTTACATGAGAATGGGAGTGTTTCTCTTTATTTATTCTACTGTACCAACATGGAGACAACTTGTACACAATATAAGATGTTTGTATGTATTATGGTATAAGCTTCATCACAATGGAAATAAGTCATTCTGTCTGAATTTTTGGGTTATCCTAGGTAATCTGCACATACACTGCTATGTATGATAATTCTCTCTCTATGTAACTGTATTTAGGTGTACCTGTACCTAAATAAAAAAAAAAGGCTTACTCGCAAACATGGAAATGAACATGCATGAACCATAACCAGACATGTTCATCTGCTTGTTTTCATACTCTGTGTCTCTGTTCCCTCTCATTTACTCACTCTCTCTCGTTTATTCGCTTTATCTCGTTTACTCACCTCTCACTCTACATTAAGACTACAGATATTTTAAGGTAAGTAATAAGTGTACTGTATATGCATTTTATCGCTCTAGGGCGCTTTCAATGCATATTACGTGTGGGTGGGTTGGCCATATCTACCGCACCTGACCTCTTACAATAAATACTACTCACCCCTCCCCCTACATTGACAACAAATATTTTAAGGTGAGTAATGAGTGTACTGCATTTGTATTTTACTTTTTAATGTTTTTTAATGCCTAGTTCTACTGCTAACTTAATATATGTTAGTGTAAACTTGTTATTTGGCATGTACATCATTTAAAGTGGAAAAAATAGCATTCTGCTTTCCGGCAGTAGCCTGGAATGTAACCTGCCGTATAAGTGGGGCCCTACTGTATTACGATTTAGCACAATTTACAATAATGAAATAGAAACAATTTTAAGTTTGAAAGATTGGATATCAGATTGGAGGGAGAGAGTTTGGAGGAGGTGAATGTATTCAGATATTTGGGAGTGGATGTGTCAGCGGATGGGTCTATGAAAGATGAGGTGAATCACAGAATTCATGAGGGAATAAGGGTAAGCAGTGCACTTAGGAGTCTGTGGAGACAAAGAATTTTGTCCTTGGAAGCAAAGAGGGGAATGAATGAGAGTACAGTTTTACCAACTCTCTTATGTGAGTGTGAAGCATGGGTGATGAATGTTGCAGCAAGGAGAAGGCTGGAGGCAGTGGAGATGTCATGTTTGAGGGCAATGTGTGGTGTGAATATAATGCAGAGAATTTGTAGTTTGGAAGTTAGGAGGAGGTGTGGGATTGCCAAAACTGTTGTCCAGAGGGCTGAAGAAGGGTTGTTGAGGTGGTTCAGACATGTAGAGAGAATGGAATGAAACAGAATGACTTTGAGTGTATAAATCTGTAGTGGAGGGAAGGTGGGGTAGGGGTTGGCCTAGGAAATGTTGGAGGGAGGGGTAAAGGATGTTTTGTGTCTGAGGGGCTTGGACTTCCATCAAGCATGTGTGAGCATATTTGATAAGAGTGAATGGAGACAAATGGTTTTTAATACTTGATGTGCTGTTGGAGTGTGAGCAAAGTAACATTCATGAAGGGATTCAGGGAAACCAGCAGGCCGGACTTGAGTCCTGGAGATGGGAAGTACAGTGTCTGCACTCTGAAGGAGGGGTGTTAATGTTGCAGTTTTATAAACTGTAGTGTAAAGCACCCCTCTGGCAAAACAGTGATGGACTGAATGATGATGAAAGTTTTTCTTTTTCAGGCCACCCTGCCTTGGTGGGAATCGGCCAATGTGTTAATAAATAAATAAATAAATAAAGTTAAGTTTGAAGTAATGATTAAATATTTGAGCAATCATAAATTATTTAGGAGTTTTTGAGTAACTGGTTTGTGTAAAGTATAGTGTTTGTCTGGTTAATTTTGGGTGATGAGGTTATTTCTAAGTAGAGCCTTAAACTGATTTGGAGGCAGCGGCCCTTTAGTGCGTTCCAGCAAGGAATTCCACATCTTCGGGCCCTTTATGTGCATAGCATTTTTGCACAGGGAGAGATGGACACAGGGGATATCAAAGAGTGTTTTGTGCCTTTTGTTATGCCTGTATGTTCTGTTGTAGTTATCAAGGAGGAGATTGAAAGGAGGGTTAATATTGAAGTATAATGTTCTGTGTATGTAGTAGGCACAATAATATGCATGGATGTTTTGTATATTAAGCAAGTTTAGGCTCTTAAAAAGCGGTGGAGTGTGTTGCCCAGTGCAGGAGTTGGTAATCAATTGCACAGTAACTTTTTGTTGGGTTATTAAATGTTTTAGGCGATTTGCTGTGGCTGAGCCCCATGCACAAATATTGTAGGTGAGGTAAGGGTAGACTAGAGAGTGCTAAAGAGCAAGAAGTACCATTTGGGGTACATAGTACCACATCTTAAAAGGGATGCCTACTGTTTTAGAGACTTTCTTGGATATTTGATGTATGTGGGTCTGAAATCTGAGACTGCAGTCAAGGTGGAGACTTAGAAATTTGCCCTGTGTGTGTCTTGAAATGGGGGGAACAATTTATTGATATGTTTAGCTGAACATCTGAAGCTGTTTCCAAACAGCATGAAGTAGGTTTTGTCTATATTGAGAGTTTATCGGTTGTCATCCAAGTAGTTATTTTTAGTAGTTCGTCATTTATAGTGTCTGTTAGTATAGTTGGGTTTGGGTGAGAGAAGACATAAGTAGTGTCATCTGCGAAATAAAACAGGTTTAAGGAGTTTAATTGTGTTTGGGAGGTCATTGATGTACATGAGAAAGAAGTGGGCCAAGGACACTACCCTGTGGGACCTCAACAAGAACAGGTTATGTAGTGATAATGCCATTTGTGTATACATACTGGTGTCTATTGCTAAGATAAGATTTAAAGTAACTGAGAGAGTGTTCTCTGACCCCATTATGTTCAAGTTTTAGGTGTAATAGGACATGGTCAACTGTATCAAATACTTTTCGTATGTCTATGAAAAATCCCAGGGGAATTTAATTTCTTTCAAGTGCTGTATATAGAAGCTCAAGCATATGTATGACTGCATCATTAGTACTTTTCTTTCGCCTAAATCCAAACTGATAGGGGTTAAATATGTTGTAGGATACTAAGCAGGAGTAAACTTGCTTGTTAATTATTTTTTCAAACTAAGCAGGAGTAAACTTGCTTGTTAATTATTTTTTCAAAGATTTTAGATAGTAGGCCTATAGTTATTCAATTCATTTGGATCACCTCTTTTGAGGATCAGGGTAACCCTTGATGTCTTGAGTATGGATGAGAAGGTAGAAAATTCAATAGATTTGTTAAAAAGAGTTGCAATAATTGGTGACAACACATGAGAAGCTTTTTTGTAAATGAGTGGTGGTAAGTTATTCAGGTCTCCTGTCTTGTCAATGGAAAAGGAGAGTTTCCCTGGGGCTGGGACGGAGAGCATAATTAGTAGAGTATGGTATATCTGCTATATGGCTCCAGGTTACAATGAAAGAAGTTTGTAAGATTTGCCTATCATTTACATGTTAAGACAAAGAAAAGATCAATAGTGCTACCAGAACACAGGCACTGTACTTCACATGTCCAGAACTCAAGCCTCACTAACTGGATACCCTAATTCCCTCCAGAGATGTTACCTTACTTCCTTGTAATGTGTATGAAGTAACATGTCAGATCCTTGCAGAAAACACTAAATCTTCATTCTCTATGATCTAACACATTCAAATATACTAAAGTTCTGTAACACTAAAAAGCACCTTCATGTTCTCCACCCACCATTCCTAGGCCATCCCCTACACTTTCTATCCACTCAATTTAAACACATACTTGGAAAACCTATTTGCATCCGACGTTATTTCAATAAGGTGACCACAAATAAATGTAAAATTATCAGTGAAAAAACATACATTTTCACTATAAAATATATTATGTTTATCATTAAAAGGCATCATATTGTCATAAGATAATTATTTTTTTTTTTTTCAAAAAATCTTACTTGAAAGTAATGGTCTTGATTCTGCTCGTGTTGGCAGAACATTCTCATTTGCGGAGAGGGAGATGAAGAATCCAAAAGGGACAAGCCAGATATATAAGGTGAAATATGCCAGTACCTGAAAGTATAAATTTAGATATAAGTTGGTTTCTAGCAAAACAAAAACAAAAGAGAGAAGAAAAGAAAACTGTTAACTAAGTAAATACACTCCACTACTGCTATGGTGTTCTTAAAGTTTCTCAGAAAGGGAGTGGGGAGTGTCATGAATGTAGCTGAGAGAGTAAGACTAACTTGAAGTACACAAGACAAGAATTTGCCTTGCTAATACTAGCTACTTTATTTTCTCCTATTTTTAATATAGCATTTGAAGTATCAATGGACATTACTGAAGATGAAATACACTAGTTTCAAAATAATTTCTAAGTGCTAATTTAACTATCAAGAATGCAAACTATCACTTAACAATACTCGATACATGAGCATTTGCAAAATAAATTTCAATGCTCTCCTAACATCTATGAATTAAATTATCCATATTTTCTATTCTGTAAATTTAATTGTACTGAGAATGTTAATCAGAACACACTCTCACTTACCTCAGACACTGGGTAGTAATATGTAGAAAAGAACGAGAATGCCAAGATGTGATTGCCGAAAAATAAAACTGGAAAGAAAAATAGACAGAAATAAATACTTTGCAAGTAATCATGAGAATAATAAACATATCTCTGATAGGGAAGTTTTTATTGCATTTATGGATTTAGAAAAGGCATTTGATAGAGTGGATAGGGGAGCAATGTGGCAGATGTTGCAAGTATATGGAATAAGTGGTAAGTTATTAAATGCTGTATAGAATTTTTATGAGGATAGTGAGGCTCAGGTTAGGGTGTGTAGAAGAGAGGGAGACTACTTCTCAGTAAAAGTAGGTCTTAGACAGGAATTTGTAATGTCACCATGGTTGTTTAATATACAGTGGACCCCGGTTAACGATATTTTTTCATTCCAGAAGTATGTTCAGGTGCCAGTACTGACCAAATTTGTTCCCATAAGGAATATTGTGAAGTAGATTAGTCCATTTCAGACCCCCAAACATACACGTACAAACGCACTTACATAAATACACTTACATAATTGGTCGCATTGGGAGGTGATCGTTAAGCGGGGGTCCACTGTATTTATAGATGGGGTTGTAAAATAAGTAAATGCTAGGGTGTTTGGGAGAGAGGTGGGATTAAATTATGAGGAATTAAATACAAAATGGGAAGTGACAGTTACTTTTTGCTGATGATACTGTGCTTATGGGAGATTCTAAAGAAAAATTGCAAAGGTTAGTGGATGAGTTTGGGAAAAGTGTTTAAAAGGGAGAAAGCTAGAGAACAAATGGATTTGGTCAGTTAAAAATAGGAAAAGAGGAGAGTTATTTAATGGAGAGTTAGAGGTTATTGGGAAGATGTATAGGAATATTTTGAGGAATTGTTTAAAGGATTGAATGAAGATAAGGGAAGCTGTGATTTCGTTGTAATAGCGGCAAGGAGCATAAACTATCTTGTAGAGTGAGGGAAGAGCCTGGTTGTGAGTGTGGGGGAAGGTTCGTGAGGCAGTAGGTAAAATGAAAAGGGGGGTTAATGCAAGCCCGGGAATGGATGGGTAAGATAGAAATGTTTAAAAGCAAGACAGGTGTGGTGGATTAGTTTTGGATAGTGGTGGTGCAATTATTTAATAAATGTATGGAGAGGGAAGGTACCTAGGGATTGGCAGAGAGCATGCATAGTTCCTTTGTATAAAGGCAAAGGGGATAAAAGGAGTGCCAAAAATTATAGGTGGATAAGTCTGTTGAGGTACGGAAAGTGTATGTTTAGAGTTATAATTGAAGGAATTAAGAGTAAGACGGAGAATTGGATATCAGATGAACAAGAGGCTTAGGAAAGGTAGTGGGGAGTGTGGACAGTGTGTTTACAGTGAAAACCTACAATTGTGAACAGTATTTAGGATAAGGCCTAAAGAGGTCTTTGTGGATTTAATGGATTGGAAAAGGGCGTATGACAGGGTTGGATAGGGGGGGCATGTGGAGTGTTGCAAGTGTATGGTGTAGGAGGTAGGTTTTACTGGAAAGCAGTGAAGAGTTTTATACGAGGATAGTGAGGTAAGTTAGAGTATGTAGGAAAGAGGGAACTTTTTTTCCCAGTAAAAGTAGGCCTTAGACAAGGATGGTGTGATGTCACGTGGTTGTTTAATATATTTATTATGGGGTTGTAAGAGAAGTTTTTTCACCCTTGCAATTTTTTTTTTCCCCCCCCTTAATGGAGGGTATTGGCAAGAGGGCGTGGAGTTAAAAGAAAAGAATCACACACAAGTGGGAGTTGTCAAGCTGCTACTTTGCTGATGACACTGTGCTATTGGGAGATTCTGAAGGGAAGTTGCAGAGATTGGTGGATTGAATTTGGATTAGGGTGTGCAAAAGAAGAAATTCTTAAAGGTGAATACAGGAAAGAGTATGTTATGAGGATCAACAAAAAGATTAGGTGATGAAAGATTGAATATCAGATTGGAGGAGAGAGTATGGAGGAGGTGAACGTATTCAGATATTTGGGAGTGGAACTGTCAGCGGATGGGTCTTATGAAAGATGAGGTGAATCATAGAATTGATGAGGGAAAAAAAGAGTGAGTGGGCACTTAGGGTTTTGGAGACAAAGAACTTTGCCCTTGGAGGAAAGGGGGAATGTATGAGAGTATATTTTTACAACGCTCTTTATGGGTTAAAGCGTGGGTGAGAATGTTGCAGCGGGAGAAGGCTGGAGGCAGTGGAGATGTCATGTCGAGGGCAATTTTGTGGTGTGGAATAAAATGCAGGAATTCTTTTAGTTTGGAAGTTAGGAGGGGTGGGGGGGGTTTAAACCAAAACTGTTGCCCGAGGGTGGGAAGGGTTGTTAGGTGGTTGGGAAAATTGTAGAGAGAATGGAGCGAAACAGAATGACTTCAAGAGTGTTTTCATTTCTGTAGGGGAAAGGAAGGGCGGGGGGGGTCGGCCCTAGGAAGGGTTGGGGGGGGGGGGAAAAGGGGGTTTTTGTGTGCGAGGGGCTTGGATTCCAGCGGCTGGTGAGGTGTTTGATAGGAGTAAAAGGAGAAAAAGGGTTTTTTAAATACTTGAGTGCTGTTGGATTTGGCAAGAAACATTTTAAGGGATTCAGGGAAAAAGGGGGCGGGCCGGGAAAATTTGAGTCCGGGAGACGGGGTACAGTCCCTGCACTTGAAGGAGGGTGTTAATGTTGCATTTTAAAAAACTGAGTGTAAGCCCTTTGGCAAGACAGTTTGGAGGTTTTGAGGGGGTGAAAGTTTTTTTTTTTCGGGCCCCCCTCCCTTGGGGGAATCGGCCGGTGTGATAATAATAAAAAAATGTGTGAAAGGGTTTGGTAATAAGTAATCATATTTATAAAAAAGAGGATAAATAAATATCAAGGTGTTAGCACAAAATGAAAGTATTTGTTAGATTATTTTTTGGTGGATAAAAGGTTGATGGGAGGTCCAGGATGTACGTTTATAGAGGGGCAACTGATTTATCGGTTTTATTATTGAGCTACAGTTACAGAAAGAGGTAGGGGGATAAGGGGAAAAGGGCAACAACGTAAGGGGAGGTGAAACTGTTTAAATTAAGGGGAGGAAGTTCGGGGTGAATATAAGAAACTTTTGGCAGAAGGTGGCGGGCAAGTATGAGTAGGGGGGGGGTTTGAAAAAGGTTTGGGAAATAGTTTTAAAAAATGCGGTATTAAAATGGGGGCAGAAGTTTGTGGTTATAGGGGGGTGGGTGCAGGAGGAAAGAGGAGTGTTGGGGGAAAGTGAAGAAAAGGGGGTTTGTGATAAAAGAAAAAAAAGTTAGCTATGAGGGGTTTTTTACAAAGCAAAAGTGTTATAAAAAGAGGAGTTATGGAGGTAAAAGAAAGGTGAGGAGGGGTGAGAGAGTGCAAAAGGAGAGCGGATGGATAGAGGGGGGAGAGTATCCCAAAGGGAAATTTTAACCCTTAACGGCCAAACAGATCGCGTTCAAATCCTTTAGTGCTCCAAACGTAAATCTATGTTTTTTTTAAATTTTTTCGAAATAAAAAAAAAAAAAAAAAAATGTAGATAAGTTTTTTACACATTTTCAAAGGGAAAAAAAAAAAAAAGATGATCTACTTTTTTACTATTTTCAAATGTTAAAAAAAAGTTTTACTTTGGGGACCATTTAAGGGTTTGAAAATAAAAAAAATTTTGGGTGAGTTAAAAACAATTTAAAGAAACCCTGGGGAAACAATGGATTTATCGTTATAAACGAAAAGGGGGAAAGTTAGTGATGGGGAGAGGGAGGTTTTGGGTAGATGGCGGGGAAATTTTTGGGGAATTTTAAATGTCGACAAAGAAAGGGAGGGGGGGGTAATTTTAAATGGCAGGGGGTTACCACTTTTGGAGTAAAAAAGAGCAGGATGCGAGTTGGGGGAGGTGCGTGAGGCATAGTAGAACGAAAGGGGCCAAGCAGCTGAAATGAGGGATAATGCAGAAATTTTTAAAAGAGGGGGGAAATAGGTTGGAGTGGTTGGTTTTTTTTTTAATAAATTTTTGAAAGGGGGGGAAAGGTTTCCCTGGGATTGGCGGAGGAGATTTTAAGTCTTTTATATAAAGGGAAGGGGGAAAAAGAGATTGTAAAAATTATATAGAAATAAGTTTATGAGTATTTAGAAAGGCAAAAAAGGGGGTCTTTGTGGCTTTAGGGATTTAAAAAGGCGTATGAAAGGGTGGATAGGGGAGCAATTGGCAGATGTTGCAAGTGTAGGGTTTGTAGGAGGTAGGTTATGAAAGGTGAAGAGTTTTTAGAGGTAGTGGGCTAAAGTTAGAGTTGTAGGAAGGGGGAAAATTTTTTTTTTCCAGAAAAAAGTAGGCCTTAGAAAAGGTGTGTGATGCACCGTGGTTGTTTAATTATTTATGAGGGGGGTTGAAAAGAGAAGTAAATGCGAGGGTTTGGAAGAGGCGTGGAGTTAAAAGATAAAGAATCACCCAAAGGGGGAGTTGTCAAAAGCTCTTTGCTGATGACACTGGCTCTTGGGAGATTCTGAAGAGAAGCTGCAGAGATTGGGTGGATGTTTTGGGTGGGTGTGCAAAAGAAAAAAATTAAAAGGTGAATACAGGAAAAGGTGGTTATGAGGATAACAAAAAGATTAGGTGTAAAAAGATTGAATATCGATTGGGGGAGAGATTTTGGAGGTGGTGAAGTATTCAATATTTGGGGGTGGAGTGTAGCAGATGGGTCTAGAAAGATGAGGTGAATCATAGAATTGTGCGGGAAAAAAAAGATTTGGTGGTTCCCTTGGAGCTGTGGAGACAAAAAACTTTGCCCTTGGAGGAAAAAGAGGGGAAAATGTATGAGAGATAGTTTACACGTTTATTGGGTTGTGAAGCGTGGGTGTGAATGTTGCAGCGGGAAAAGGCTGGAAGCAGTGGAGATGTCATGTCTGAGGGCAATGTTGGTGTGAATAAAAATGCAGGAATTGTATTTTGGAAGTTGGGGGAGGGGGCGGGATTACAAAATGTTGTCAGAGGGTGAGGAAGGGTTGTTGAGGTGGTTCGGCATGTGAGAAAATGGAGTAAAAACAGAATGATTTCAAGAGTGTATCAGTCTTAGTGGAAGGAAGGGGG